GGCCACCTGTACAAATACATGAAAATAAAACCCCACAAAGGTAGACCCAGGGCATGTACTCGCATGCCATTGGTACTTAAAACCACCACCTAGTAGGTCCCTTTCCTTTTGAGTACCTTCATGCTTTTTTTTTTTTTTGGGGTTGTTTTCCATAGTTGCCCTTTAGTGTAGGATGCAACAGAATGAAAGGAAAGAGAAGACAAACTTCCACCATGACGCACTTAAAACATTACCAGCTTAAAACACGTAAATGCAAAGCAAAGCGTAGTGATTTTGTTACTTGTCTCTGCTATGCCGGTGATACGACCTTCTATACATTGCAAATACAACACGGCTAGCATATACAAAAATATGCTTGTATGACTAATGGCAATTTCCCTTCCTCTCTATTATAGTTTCTTATTTACATTAAGAACACAAACTCTTTGGGAGAATGCATTTTTGCCTTTAAAAAAAAATCACATTATATGCAGAACACATTAGACTTGCATATACACTAAACAGACAAGGTTCTTAGGGTAAATGTGATATTTTATGAGACCAACTAAATAGTTGGAAAATTGTTCTTTGCAAGCTTTCGGGCACAACCACCCTTCTTCAAGCACAGAGATGCTTGCCCACTCAGGCTCCAATTTGGCTGCAGCCTGTTTCACTCTGCTATGGCTATTAATTTATTTTTAGAAGGCATCGTTACATTATTAATCTCAGACAGTGTAATAGAATAGGCACCTCCTGGTGGTCACTCTCTGCTGTGGCTTTAGCTACTTATCTCCAAGTCTCGTCTGCCACACCTTGAAGTTCTTAGTAAAGTTTAGAAAGGGAGGCTGCTCCAGGGCCCTAGTGCAAACTTCACACTGGCCTCCTGCAGCAGATCTCCTCAGATCATGTGCGACTCACTCCAATTTCCACACTTAATTGGCCCTCTCAGTACATGTGTATCCCCCAGGATGCCTAGTGCCTTACGGGCTAATCACAGCCTCTAAACTTCTCTCCTAGCTGTACCCATGCCTCATAGGTGTTACGCATCATCACTCAAGTTGGGCACTTTGCTTCAAACCACCAGGCCACCTTAGGCCTCCACTCCCTTATTGGGGCCTTGACCTTCCTAGCTTCTGCCCCACTACTCTCTGGCTGGTTCCTTTATCCTAGATCCACTACACCACATCTGGCTCATCAGGCTGCAATCCTTGCCTCACCCTCTTGGATTCTTGTTTATACCACAACTGGGCTGTGGGCCCTCTGGCCCCAGTCTCTGCCCCTTCCTGGGCTGTGTGATCTCCAACCCCTGTTCCTGACCATCTTGGGCTCATGGATCCTTTGGTTCCAAGCTCTGCCCCTCTCTAGGCTGTGGGGTCTCTAGTCATGTTTCTGTCCCCATCAGGAAACACTGAGCTTCTGTCTGTGCTTTGAGCCCGATTCCTGGCAGGGTTCAAGGCAGTCACATGCCCCTCGGGGACTAATGGGACCTCCAAGCCACCCCTCTCTGGTCCCACCCAAACCACCAGTTTAAGCTATAAACAAAATTGTAAGCCAACTGGCTGCAACTCTGTTCCTATATCCCTGCAAGCCACCCAGGGGCCGCTATCAGCTTGAGACCTCCAGGCAGTCCTCTGCAGCCTCTCAATTTATGAGCTCTTTCTCTTCCACCCTGCAGAGGCAGACTAATTGCTTTGGCTCAGCCCTAGGCTTCTCTCTCCTAGTTCCTGCCCCTTTCTGATCAGGCAATCTCCCCAACTACCCACACATGCTTTCTGATTGCATTTGCTGGCTTCACCTAATGGTAGCTCACTGCTGCTATCTAGCTGCTGTAGGAGCATCTGGTCTCCCATGCTTGACTATTGTAAGGTAACCCACTCTACAACATGCCCTCCAAGCCTGTTTTTCCCCCTAGCTGGCTATTTTCTTTGTACTCATCTCAAACAACAGGAGACTTCTGGCTCTCTTTTACAGACAGCTACAAATTATATACTGCAACTCATCTTAGACTGATAGCCTTCCTGTATTTTGAGCTCTTAAATGGATGAGGTTGCTTCCCTTCATAATAATCACTTTACTATGAATTATGAATATTGATTTTTATTCACTGATGATACCCAAGGGTGTGCTGAGCAAATTAAAATGCAGAGCTCCTACTTGGATTTCCAGCCTGAACACATTAGGAAGACTAAAGAAATTTTAGGCAATAGTGAAAGCTGAAGAAAGATAGTCCTAGTAGTGATATTGAATGAGGACTCCTTATTAAACTATACTGGTCATGCAGTTCAGATAAGATACTCGCATTGTATTTAACAGTTAAACAGCATTTTTCATCTTCCAAATTGCAAGCAGACACTTTTTCTTAGCTTGCTCTCAAACACAGTCGACATACAGCATGGCATCCCAAGCTACCATATTTCCACTAGTGAATTTTTATAAACAGCCATATAAATTAAACTCAAAACTTGTTCTGAGAAAGAATATGATCTTGTTTTATCCCCTAAATATGTACCATCACTTAGAAATTCCTTTGTCTTAAGTAACCCATTTCCCTCACCATGAACCACCCACCTCAGTAACCACCAGAACCCACTTAATGTTCCACATCAAGGTGAATGCCTGTTATTGTAATAAACCGGAAACATTCAAGATAAACACTTTGTTATATAGTACTTCACAAACTGTACCAAATTAAACCTGCCCAAAGTCATGCCTCCAAAACAAAAATTCTAGTAACTGTAGTACCAGAGGTATATTTTTGTACAAGGCCACAGTGTGAACCATATTAATTGATAGCATAAACATTATATTTTCTTGCATAACACACACTGTGGAATATAATATGCATCTTGTTTTTTGAAAGGCAGAATCAAGAAAAAAAATTTCTAGTGTTCTGGCTGTGCTGAACAGGGACAGAGCCCAATCTTCAGCAGATTCACTGCCCTTTTCCTGTTTAAGCTAACAGGAACAGACAGCAAAAATTGCCTTAAGATTCAGCTGCCTGAACAGCAATACTGCCATGCTGTGGAGCAGAAATCAAAGCAGTGTGGTTCTATCTGGGGAAGAAAATCAGCTTCCCTGCTTAAATATACATACCCCAATTAGGGGGGGGGGGGGGGGGGGGGAGCGGCGTGTGTTACACCCCCAAAGGGGGGGGGGGGGGGGGGGGAAATGCCATCTGGTTCATATGCCATTCAGTGGTGTTCTGTGGGAAAGGGGGTAGCTACATTCAGGATTGGAGGTAATGATGAGTGTAAGTGTGAGCTACCATTTAATGGCACCTTCTCCCAGCCCCATTGTCCCCAGAAGAGTTATTTTATAGCACTGCAACTACACACAATTTTTTAAACTTCTTTTAAAAATGTAACCCGCACTATTTTCTTAGGTCTACCTAGAACCCCAGTGACTGACTGGTGATAAAGACTACAAAACATGTTCATTTACACTGTGACACTGGAAACATATGGGCGACTAGCAGTTTACAGAACTCAGAGTACCTCAGTCATGTTTACTTCTTTAAAATGCCAGTGCCTGCTCTGGCCTTTAAGAAACATTTTTTCAATCTATTTGCCTTTTCAACATACTAAGGAGTAATAAAATACATTATTCAGGACCAGGATGATTCTACTAACAAAAAGTCACCTCTAAGATCTCCATACTGAATAAACTTTCTCTGGAGAAAATAGTTGTCTTGGCAGGACGCAGAGCAGATTTAGGTTGGACGTTAGAAAGAACTTCTTCACAGTAAGGGGTGCCAGAATCTGGAATGGGCTTCCAAGGGAGGTGGTGCTCCCCACTACCTTGGGGGTCTTCAAGAGGAGACTGGACAAGCACCTAGCTGGGGTCATTTAACCCCAGCACTCTTCCTGCCAGGGCAGGGGGTTGGACTCTATAGCATACTGAGGTCCCTTCCGACCCTAACATCTACGAATCTATAAAATCAAACTGCTTGAGCAAAGGTTGGGAAAATGCCATCAGGTTACTCACAAAATTATACGGTTGAATAAGTTAAAAGCAACAAGTCTGACATTGTTAAGACACTGCTATATGTTTATGTGTGCATATACTATAATACACACATATATACATACACACACACGACAGCAAGATTGATCAGTGGTTTATTCTGAACTACCTTTGGTTACCTATACTGCGGTTTTCACTTAAAGGGAGTTAGTTGTCTACCTTCTACTGAATAACACACCTGGCAAAGTGTTTTTGGGGTGCTATCTTTTATTGGACCAACTGCATAGTTTAATCGTAGAGTTGGGGTAGAGTTAGACAGGCCTGGACAATCATGGCTACAACATCACTAACACAGTGGTCATCAACCAGCCAATCTCAATTGACTGGTTAATCATGGAGCCTTAACAGTCTGTCAGAGGCTCCATGATCAGGAGCGGCAAGATGCACGTGGCTGGGCTGAGCTGAGCCATTCCTTCTGCTGCCCGGGCCGGGCTGGGTGAGTGGGGTCAGAGCCCAGGCGTAGTGATTGGGAGGGGAGATTGGGCAGGGGGTCAGTCCATGCCCCATGAACCACCAGCTGGGCCCTCCAGGGGGATGGCTGAGCCCTCCAGAGGGGACTGGATCCCCTGGCGGCACATCCGGTTTCACCACTAGTACTTTGGGGCTCGGCCGTTGGCCGCGGGCCCCCCCCCCCCCAGCTCAGTGATCGGCTGCTGGGGGCCCCCCCCGCCCCAGCTTAGCAATCAGCTGCAAACTTAAGCGCTGCCCCCCAGGCGCTGAAGACCCACGCTACGCCATTGCCCAGGCAGCTTGTCTGGGAAGTGGGGTGGGGGCGGTAGATCCTGGGGTGCCCTTCACTTACAAAAAGTGATCTTCACCATAAAAAGGTTGGAGACCACTGCTCTAACACTACCCCTGGAAAGAGATTGGCTGGAAAAATAAAGCTGATCACTACACCAACAGATTCTAGATGAAGCAATAATGAATGGATATAGCATGCAAATACAGAAGTAATCATCTTTATTTACACTGCATTTGCATTTAGATAAGTACACACAGCTCACAGAAATGAATACCTCTCATAAGTCATGTCATTCTTTTGGGGGCTGATAGACATTTGTACTTTATCTCAGTTTAGATGCTGAAATACAAATATGGCCCAGTGAGTCACTAACAGGGTTCAACTTCAGGGGTGGCTAGGATGACCCTGGAGCCTCCTTAGTCCTTGCCTCCTTGGCTTTCTTTGGGCCATTTCCTTTACCCCTCACTTGCCACATCTTGATGAAATTATACTTTTAGGAAAGGGAGGCTGCCCCAGGGCTCCTCAAGTCAGATCTCCTCTTTTGAACATGGGTGTCTGTGCTCATTACCTTAAGGGCTAATTACATGGCTCTGACCAACCCTTACACCATACCCATGCCTCACATATTATACTCATTCCTACCAACACACACCTGGCCCTCCTAGGCTATGGGGTCCCAGCCCCAGTCCTGCCCCTTTTTGGGCTACAGACTTCTTAGTCCCCTTGGTCTCCAGCTATGACCCCTGGTCTTTGGCTCCTCTCTCTGGGTCCTGGCCCTGCTTCTAGGCCAATCAAAACTCCTGGGCTCCCCCAGCCCCACCAGTCTCTGGCTCTCCTCAGCCTTTGGCCCATCGCTGGGCCCTGGCCCTACTCCTGGGCTAGTGAGACCCTCAGGCTCCCTGGCCCTGTTGACACACCCGTCCTGGGGTACAGCCCTCTGGGCTCCCTGGCCTTCTGAGCCCTCCCTCCTTTTTGGGCCAGCTAGGACTTCCTTACCTTCTCTTTAGTCCCTTCAACAAACCACCAGGTGTTGCTTACCCCCACCAGCTCAGTTATTAAATCAGGAGCCCTGCTGCCAAGGAGCTCTTCTCTCTATGTATCTCAGGGCTAGACTGCCTGCCCAGCTCAGGCCCTGGGCTTATATACTTCAAGCCAGGTCACTGTCTGGTCAGGTGACTCTTTAATTGACCCCTGCCACACCTGCAGGTTGCTTCGTACACAGCCTCTTCCCCTCTTAAAAAAAAGCGACAGGTGTGTTAAGTGCCCTGACACAATCATCCAGGAAGCTAGGACCTTAGTTAAGCAATTCTTGTGCTAGTCACTGGATTGCAGTCATCCACTAGACTACACTCCCTACCTATCCCTCCTGTTGGTCATTGTCTGAATTTTGCTTTTACCAGTAAAAATGCCAGTCTTTAACCTGTGTTGCAAGCATTTTAAGTGAAAATACCACTAGGATCTTATAAGTCCCATTCTCTTTTGATCACTTATTTTTCCACATTAACTAAGTTCCATGCAGCTCAAAACACTACCCTTAATTAAAGAGCTACTTAAATTCTGACACAAATGTAGAGGTTTAGGCCTAAAATGAACAAGCAAATATTGAAGACCCTCACATATAATGGAGAGAGGCAGGGCAATACCTTTTAATTGACTAGTCTGTGTATCTTTTACAAAGGCATAAAACAAATGAATGTAGTAAGATGTGGTTAAGCAGGTAGTCTGATCACAATGAAGATGAGGATGCTATAATTTAAAATACATTACATTTTAATTTATTTGCAAAACTGAGCAGAAAAAACAACATGTATTAACACATGTCCCCAGAAACTAATAAAAACTGAGACTATATAAAGAAAAGTCTAGTGTAGACTATCAGGAAATGCATTAGAAGATTAATTTATTAAGGTGATGCTACAGAAGAGGTAGTTACTCAGGCACGCTGAATTATGATGATCACTTACTTAGATGGAATGCATGTTAAATCATAGAGAGTTAGAGGGTGGATTTTGAAGGCTGGGAGCATTTACATTCTTTGACTAGATCTACTTTTTCTTACAATATAAGAAGATAACAGATGATCCTTAAGAGTTTCTTGAGGTTCCATTACCTTGCATTAATCAGAGTTTATTGGCAAAAAATGACCTCAATCTGTTCAAAATTTCTTCTTGTATATTTCCCTCATTTAATCTTCAGACATTCTTCCATAGACTCAAGGATTGTCAATGTAAGAAAGTTGTACAAGGATGTATTGAATGACCTATTAAAATGATATGGTAAGATTAGTTTAAGTAATTGTATGAATTCTCATTTAGAAGTAAAAATATCTAATTTTACATTCATTCAACCTTTGCTTGATCACATTAAGCTAAACCAAAATCAAACTATTTCATACTCACGTAAGGACTTCTACATAGCCATTATACATTTAATGGATTTAACCATATCAGTTTAGATTCCCACCAGCCTTAAATTTAATAGTTCATCTTTCTCATTCAGACAATCCCTCAAGGCCATTTTCCTCTTTTGCATATTAACTTTGTAATTTTTATTCCTTAAAACTTTTTATCCTTCAAAGCATTTCAATGAGGCTAAAATTTCCCCACAATTTGAGTTCACAGGACTCAGTCTAATAGGAGTTATTAGAACAGTTGTATCTGTCAGTAGTAGCTTGTAAGCTCCTTGTGGCACAGACCCCTTCCCCCTTTAAAAAAAACAACAAACCCACACAATGTCTGGCATGCTAATCTAATTATCCACATTCGATGAATTAGTCCCATTGGCTTTTTCCTTGAAAAAGGAATTCTAGTGAGTAGGAAGAACTGGTAAGTTGTAGCCTTTATGTCATTACAGCTGAATGCATCTTTTCCTCACAAGTGTGTAAGACTCTGGTTCTTAACTGGGGTGTCACAAGACCCCCACAGGAGTGCTATGATGTAGGCAGCAGCACACACACTCCTGCTGCATTAGGGCTCTCAGACAACCCTAAAGCAGACAAGAAAGCAGGTTTTGGCTACAGTTCTTCCTGTTCTGGCCCCTCCTGCATCTCCCAGAAAGTAGCACATGGGCATAGGCAGATTAATACATGGGCTGACTGGGCCCAGGCTCATGGACCCCTGCCAATCAGGGGCCCCAGGGTACCTGGTTTCCTGTAGGAAATGCAGGTTTCCCCTTGCAGATGGGCAGCATTCTAGCCTGCAAGGGGATGCTAGGAGCAAGACACAGGGGCACCATATGTCTGTGCATGTTCACATGCACATGCATGGCCTGGAAAACAGCCAGGCAGAGTAGAGAGCAGCTCCCTGCAGGTAAGGGGCAGGGGGAGAGGGGGCAGATAGAGGACACTATTTGAGAGAGGGAGTGGGGCAGGGACTGGGGATGCTGCCCAGCCAGGGTGGTACATGGGACCCGGGGCCAGGATGAGGATCAGGACAGAGCCACAGGTGGCTTGTCCAGGGGGCACAGGGTGGGGGTGGCTTTCCACTGCTGCGCACATCCCTGTGACAGCCAGAACCAGAGGGATTAATAAGCAATAATATGTGCTTCTTGAAGGCATTTGGTATTTTGCCTAAACAGGTAATATTTGTTAATATTAGCTTATAAGTTTGTAAACTGCAAATGTAACTTGTCTGTCATAAGTTTAACCAAAATGATAAATTAACTGTTCATGGAACTGACTGGGCCCCGGAGGCAAAGCTGTAGCTGTGAGATTAGCTGGCCTAACCGTTTTTTGCTCAGGGTTCAGCCTTAGCGATAAAAACTGGATCTAACTGCTTGGCACACCCAACACATTCCAGGAAAGCATATCCCAAGAAAGCATATTCAAATGAAGCCTAAAAGGGGTTGGGATTTGGGCGGAGAGATGTCAATTTCAAACCTAAAGGTGCTGCATCATAATTTGCTTATTGGATAAACCTGAGTCTGGGTAGTAACCTTTTTATGATAATTTTAACACCTTTCAATCCCATAGGGTAACAGCTATAGGGCAA